TTGAAATCCAACACTAATCCAGTGTTTGTGGAAGCCCATTGGCCCATTGGTTGATCAAGGGTTGATTAATGCTTCTACACTAAGAGGTCTGGGGTTCGAGTCCCAGATATTGAGATTTATTATCAAATTTGCAGATTAATGGAGGAAAGTGTGCAGAAGATCTTCAGCGATGTACAATTATAGCCGTGCGTCAGGATTCTACGCAGAGAAGGAAGTGTCGCCAGGTCGTGGATCATTGAAGGTATTCATCAAGATCATGAAGAAGAAAGTGTAGTCTGTCGTGGATCTACTAAGGATCGGTAGAAATTGTCAGTTGTAGAATCGTCTATATAACAGTTCTCATAATTTGCAATTAATAATAAATCTAGACGAAAAAAAAAATCCAGTATTATTCAACTAATGATTTAAAATTTAACTTTAAAAACTGGTGTTATTGGATCTTATACTTCATTAGATTTTAATAGTTTTGGTGTTATTCAACTAAGATTTAAAAGATTTTATTAAAATCCAGTGTTATTTAAAACTAAAAGACTTGTAAAATCTTTGCATATTAGATCATTTGAAATGAAACTTTTTTCGAGTCTCATGAGTAAATTATTATAATCAAAATCCAAGATATAATGCAGAGATTTTAAAATCCACACAAACAGATTCTTAAAAACAATATCAGAAAGCAAATCTAAACCTTAAAGAATTGACTTTAACTTCATCATTAGAAAGGCCTATTTTTTGTGAAAAAATAGATAAAGGTTTAGAATTTTTGTTAGTAATATAAAATATGCTCGAAAATATAAATATATAATATTATCCTATACTATTATTTGTGGAGTACAATTTATTAGAAACCCTTTACTAACCTTCTCTTTTGTAAAAAATTACATGAGAATGCAATTACAAAAAGCTCATTTTAGAACAAATTCATTAAGGTTATTATAGACAATTAGCACTCTATCCATTTCACAAATCATGGGTCAACGGGTTTAGAAACGGGTTTAAGAAGATTCCCACAACAATAAGATCTTCCACGTATTTTTCATAAACAACAACACCAAACAATTAATTCATAATTACTTACATTTCTTATGAAACATCTTAGGGAAAAAACCCGAAAAAACCGCCATCTATTTTTTTTTTGGCCGTTTAATACCTGTGTTTTTAAATTTGGAATAAAAATACCTCATTTAGTTTCGATTGCCTTTTAAAACTATCGTTTTTTAAAACTTGGTAATTTCGAACCCGACACTTAACAGTCGTTACTGGGCGTAACGGAATTATTTAACGGCGTTAAATTTTAACCGGCAAAAAACCCGAAAAAACCGCCATCTATTTGTTTTGGCCGTTTAATACCTGTGTTTTTAAATTTGGAATAAAAATACCTCATTTAATTTCGATTGTCTTTTAAAACTATCGTTTTTAAAAACTTGGTAATTTCGAACCCGAAACTTAACAGTCGTCACTGGACGTAACAAAATTATTTAACCGCGTTAAATTTTAACCCCACGAGTTTATATAAATATATACTATCTGTTTGCATATAAATATATACTATCTGTTTGCATGTTAGTTTTGTAAACCTTAGAAGCTGGGTTTGACTCTTCAAGACTTCAACCTCATTTTTTTTTTATTAATTTCTTTTTGTGTTCTTCGTCTTCTTCGCCGGTGGTGACGACGACTTCTTCTTCTCAGATCTCCGATGATGCAAACTAGTCTCTCTCTCTTTCTCTTCTTCACTCGAATCTCTTTTTTGTAATGGGTTTTTGCCGAGATCCATCCCATTTATGTATAGATCTGATCTGATTGATGTCGATTTAGTTGCTGTTCTTTTTCAATGGTAGATCTAATTGCAGAATCGATTTGTTGAAATCGCTCTATGATTCATCTTTTGTTTGCATTTCGAGTCTTAACTTTGTACTGATGGGAAGTTATTCGAAGTGGAGAACAAAGAGAAAAAAAAAACAGGTTTAAGATTCAAACCCGGATCTGGTGGTTTAAAAAAAGACACACGCTACCACTAAACCACATTGACATTCTCGTAATGTGTTGTGAGCAGTTTGTATATATTTATATAAACATGTGGGGTTAAAATTTAACGCTGTAAAATAATTCTGTTACGCCCAGTAACGACTGTTAAGTCTCGGATTCGAAATTACCAAGTTTTAAAAAACAATAGTTTTAAAAGGCAATCGAAATTAAATGAGGTATTTTTATTCCAAATTTTAAAACACAGGTATTAAACGGCAAAAAAAAAAATAGATGGCGGTTTTTCTTGATTTTTTCCCGGTTAAAATTTAACGCCGTTAAATAATTCCGTTACGCCCAGTAACGACTGTTAAGTCTCGGGTTCGAAATTACCAAGTTTTAAAAAATGATAGTTTTAAAAGGCAATCGAAATTAAATGAGGTATTTTTATTCCAAATTTAAAAACACAAGTATTAAACGGCCAAAAAAAAAATAGATGGCGGTTTTTTCGGGTTTTTTCCCAAACATCTTATCACATAAAAGCTTAAATATATTAGATAAAGAAGAGACAGAAACCAAAAACAAAACGTTTCATGTTATGGTTGGTTCATGGAAGATAATTCGTGCCTCTTCATATCGAGGGAGAATTCGAATATTTGTATATTTTTGCATTGTATGTTATTGTATGTTTTTACATTTTTACATGTTTTCTGTGTTATCTATGTTATCCTATGTCTCTAATTCTTATAGTGAAGATTCAAATATTTGTATATTTTTGGTTAATTTATATGTTAAAGATTGACTATTTCATCAATGTTTCTAAAATCAAAACAAAACTAATCCAGTATCTATATAATTTCATATTTAAAAGAGAGCTTTAGATTAGTTTAAAATCAAAACAAAACTAATCCAAAACTATTAGGTATTCGGATTTTTTTCTAACTAATTTTAGATTGTATTTGATATTTGAAATGACATATACGATATGAGGATGAAGATCTAAATCTTACCAATACGGTTTCGATAGTGATAAGATTAAAAACCATTTATATGTTTAATGTTAAGAATAATCCGCTTTGAAACTAATAAAAATTGTCATTTATATTTTGTAAACTAATATCTTTAGATTAGTTTCAATCACTATATTCCACCTAATAGAGAATATACCTATATGGATTAAATTTCACAACTAATTTTAATTAGCTCAAAAGGATTTGATAATATTTTTCGGAGCTACTGTATCTAACAAAGCCGCCCTCCAATGCTTATAAATTGGAATAACGACGAGACTGCTTTAGTACATTCTCACAAAATCACCTCTTTACACGAAACAGAACCCTTCAAAATGGCCATGGTCAGTCCCTACACTCCTATCAAAGACTTGAAACCTTACAAGACTTCCTGGCGTATTCAAGCTAAGATTCTGCATACGTGGAATCATTATACTCAGGGTGCTGGGATGTCTTTTGAAATGGTCTTGGTTGATGCTTATGTAAGTAGGATTTTGTTTGTCAACAATGAATAAGTGTTTTAGCAAACTGTTTTAAGTATTTATGTTATTAGATTGGTTTACCAGTTATTTCTTATAAATGCAGGGTAACAAGATTCAAGCAGGAATTAAGAAAGAACACCTCCAGAAGTTGCAAAGTGGAATCAAGAAAGGAGAGTGGAGAATATTTGACGAGTTTTCAGTGAAGAAGGCAACATGAATGTATCGACCAACAACTCATAACTACAGAATTATATTTGAGTACTCTACTGTCATCTCCCCCTCTGAGACGATTTCGGAATCGATTTGGCTAGATTTAGTTCCTTTTAATTCAGTACTAAGTGGTACCTTTGATCAAAACAAGTTGGTTGGTCAGTTTTTTCTGCAGCTTACTTTTTTTTGTGAATTTTTGTACTATGTATATTGTACTAAATAATGTGTTTTACCTTTGCTATAGATATCATTGGCCAACTGGTGAATGTTGGGGAAATGCAAATCATGGATGTCAAAGGCAAGCCTAACAAGAAGATTGATTTCCAACTAAGAGACACTGAGTAAATGTTTTATATAATATCTATAATAAGTCATTATTTCGGAGTTTATCTTGATCATATTTATTTTTTATTTTGCATTTCTATCTTTAGCGATAACCGTCTACCATGTTTACTGTGGGGAAGATTTGCTGATCAAATTAGCAAAGTCTCAAAAGATTCTATTGGAGGACAGGTCATTTGTTTGATCCGGTGGGCTAAGTTGTGCCATTACAAAGGTATTGCATGACATATTTGACGGATAACTCCATATATTACGTAAAAAATATTGTTACTGATTGAAAACCATTATGTTTTTCAGAAATCAGAAGTATTTCAAACTCTTTTGATGCTTCTGACGTTTTGATCAACTCTGTCTTGACAGAGGTGGATGATTTTAAGCAAATGTGAGTGTTGTGTTTTCATTTAACTGTCTCATTATATATCTAAATATAAATTACGAAAACTAACTAATTCTGCGTTTCTCAGGCTTCCTTCTGATGGACTTGCATTGACAATAATGGAACCTAAACCTAGATTACAGCCTCTCAAGGTGCGTGAAGAGAGATCCAAACAATTCCCAAGGAAGACTATTGCTGAGCTAAAGGCCTCTCTCGAGGTATCTCTATCATAGATTTAATATTTGTTGTCTTTTATTATTTTCATCTTAGTTAACTAATTTAGTTGAATCCTTAATCTTTTCTAAGGTTGAAAAGATCAAGCTCATCTGTACCATTTTGTCAATTGACTTGGACTGGTCGTGGTATTATTTTGCCCACATCAAATGTAACAAAAAAGTTCTCAAAAGCAAAAAACTTCTTAGCTCTGGTGCCAAGAAGATAATTTGGATGTGTGACAAATGTAATACAAACGTATCCTCTGTTGAAGCAAGGTAATTGTTGCTATCCTATTTTGTATCTGCCTTTACTTTTATCATATTCTACCATAATTTTTATTTATATTGAATATAATTCTTAATTGCATAGGTACTGGCTGCATCTAGACGTTATGAATAACACAGGGGAGAGCAAACTTATGTTGTTTGATAGTTTTGTTGAACAAATCATAGGTATTCCAGCTTGTGATCTCGTGGATCCTACAACTGAAGAGGTATTTTCTAATTGTATTCATTACATTTCGTTTTATTTACATCTTGGTAAATATATGATACCCTTCCTGTATACTATTAAACACAGCTTGATGATCCCCTGCCACTCCCTGATGTTCTGAAAAACATTATTGGTAAAACATACCAGATTGCTCTTTGTGTTGAGCAAGATAATATCTCAAGAGGAAATGATGAATACAAAGTTTCTGAGGTTTTAACAAGTCAGAACCTTAATCACGCTGCCCTTGAACCTGAAGTTGATTATCCTGTTGATCTTTCATCCATGAGTTCCAGTGACCAGGTAATACATTTTCCTAAATTCAGTGTGATTTATATGATGTGATAATCTTTGTTGTTCCTTCCTCGCCTAATTAAAAATTCATAATGTTTTTAGGTTTTGATGCTGACTAATAGTTCTCATAAGGATGACACTACCAATACTTCACTGTCTACACCATCATCAAAGAGAAAAGAAGATACTTCGGATGGATCTGATCAAAACTCCACAAGCAAGAAACAATGCACTGGAATACAATCTAATGTCAAAGACGATGGTGTCATTGATTTAGACACTCCGGAGAAAAATGATCAGTCTACTGATGTTAAAGTCCATGGTGTCCTGGCTGTAGACAATTCGAAGGAACATGATCAGCCTAAGTTCATACACAAACTTGATGAGGCAGGTCAAGAAGCCATCACCAAAGTAAGTGAAGCAGAACAGAAGCAAGTTCTTTTGAAGAACATTAAGCTTGAGAAGCTCGAAGGCCAGAAGGGAGCAAAGTGAGTTAAGGGAAGACTCAACAATCTAAAATAAAGTTGATCTCATGGATTAGTTTTTTTTTTTTTTTTTTTTTTCTATTAGGTATCGTTTTTACATTTCTATCTTATTTTTTATGTTCTGTTTTTCAAACAACATCTTATCAGACATTTTTTCCTTAGTTTCAATTTCTATCTAAGAGTTTTATTTTAGAAGGTTTATCATTGTGGTGTTACTTATTTGATTATTTGTTCTATCCTCCTAACAATAACGATTCCAGAACCACTATTTAAGCCAAAGCGTGTAATAGAACTCTTAATTATGGCCTAATTTCATATGTTCATATCAAATTGGATCGTGGAGAAGAGACCAAGCCATATTCATATGCTTTCTCCGGTATATCTAACAAAAGACAAATCTGATTTATTTTACTTTAGAAACTATCCATAATCCTAAAACCATTATAACTCAAATTAGAGTATAGCATGATTACTTTAACGAGACTTACTTATTTTAATGGCTTTGTCCAGACTGATCTTTATCCAATTTTTTTTAACTGCTTTAGCATAATCCTGTAAATAAATCAACAAACAGTTAATTAATTTACAATATCAGTTGAATTAGTTGTATGTAAGTTTAGATTCTTCATAAATTTGTTAATATAATTTTGTAATCTTAATAATAATAAAATATCTAAATCATATCCAAAATCTAAAACAACTTCTACACCAGCTTGCTGATAATTTATCTTGAATCCGGATAATTTATATAGAGTATCTTGAAGAACTAAATATATGGAAACTGTGATTATATGAAATCATTCTTAATCATTATCTACCTCATATTTAAATAATAATAAATGAGATATATCAAACAAACACATCGAAACGATTCATATTTCCATATCTAATTCTAACTATATTCTTTGGATCTATACAGTCATATTCGTCTATATATACCTATATTTTCTTCTCATATCATCTCAGAAACCATCGACTCCTCTGCTTTCAATGCAAAGAAACAAACGTGTATATCCCATGGAGTTGGTTCACAGTATATCTGATTTGCATGTAAACTCGTCAACATGGAGGATTTATGTTAAGATTATGTGTATGTGGGAACAAGATTTGGGTTCTGCTGGATCTGAAACAATCATGATGTTGGCTGATGAAAAGGTATCAAACTTTTGCTTCACTTTCTATTTACTTTTATCTTGCAATAAAACTATATTTATGTTTGTCATACAAGTACTTTAAATGTTTTGGTTCTGTAGGGTGGAAGAATCGATGCAAGGATTCCATCTGGGACATCCTATACTAATATTTGGGAAGTACATCCTAAGGATCATAACTTGATTTTGTAAGAAATTACAATATATGTCATTAGAGAATTCTAATCATAAAATTTTATTCCATGTCACTAATATATATTAACGGGTCAACGGGTTTAAAGATATTAAAAGATTTTGTTTATATAATTCATATAAATATAATTCATATATTTTTCGATAATAACTATATTACACAATTAATATAATTCGAAATTGTTATATACTAATCAATTCGAAAATGTAACACAATTAGTAAAAATGTTGTATACTAACATATAATTCGAAAATGTGACACAAAAATGTTATTGAAAATGTTAATGAAAATGATATATCATTGAAAACATTTTATATCAATTGACTTTATAAAAAATGCTATTTTGAATTATAATACTCATATAGTTCAAAAATGTTATTGAAAATGTTATATACTAATCCATTATCCTATACTATTATTTGGAAAGTACATCTTATAAGTCGTAACGTTGATTTTGTAAGAAATTACAATATATGCCATTAGAGATCTCTAATCATAATCATTTTAATTCTATGTCACTAATATTCACCAATTCATTAAAAACGGGTCAATGGGTCAAACGGATTTAAAAATATTACTGAGATTACCTAATATATAGGAGGTCAATCACGAATATAACAAACATGAATTTTGTTTAGAGACAAATAATTTTTAATCATACAACGAAATTTAGTTTAGATTTTAAAATATTTCCTTGACTAAACTATACTAATTAATTATGATTAATATATATGGAAGAAAAAACGAAATTATATTTATGTAAAATAATTAAATTTGATAATATATTAATAGATATTTCCAAAATCCTTAAATCGGGATTGTCTCAAAAATTTTGTCTATGTGTATTTCGCAGATTGGCAAAGATAAATACATATAGAAATGATATTTTTAATTTACTAAATCAGAAATAAATATAGCATCCTAAATCTTAGTACTTGCCATAACAATTTTATATTTATTCGAATAGATTCAAAACGAAAATTCAAATCCCCTGTATTAAGCAACTACAACAAACACCAATAAAAAAGTCAACAAAATATTCAAATTTTTCTAAAATATAGTTATATTCTAAAATCTTTCAAAAATTGTTAACCATGTAGAGATTTTGTAGTTAAGGAAACAAAAATTTATTTTTGAACATAATTTTCAAAACAGTTAATACAATCTTCAAAACGGATCTCATATATATTCAATCCTATACTATTATTTGGGAAGTACATCTTATAAGTCGTAACGTTAATTTTGTAAGAAATTACAATATATGCCATTAGAGATCTCTAATCATAATCATTTTAATTCTATGTCACTAATATTCACCAATTCATTAAAAACGGGTCAATGGGTCAAACAGATTTAAAAATATTATTGATATTACCTAATATATAGGAAGTCAATCACGAATATAACAAACATGAATTTTGTTTAGATACAAATAATTTTTAATCATACAACGAAATTTAGTTTAGATTTTAAAATATTTCCTTGACTAAACTATACTAATTAATTATGATTAATATATATGGAAGAAAAAACGAAATTATATTTATGTAAAATAATTAAATTTGATAATATATTAATAGATATTTCCAAAATCCTTAAATCGGGATTGTCTCAAAATTTTTGTCTATGTGTATTTCGCAGATTGGCAAAGATAAATACATATAGAAATGATATTTTTAATTTACTAAATCAGAAATAAATATAACATCCTAAATCTTAGTAGTTGCCATAACAATTTTATATTTATTCGAATAGATTCAAAACTAAAATTCAAATCCCCTGTATTAAGCAACTACAACAAACACCAATAAAAAAATCAACAAAATATTCGAATTTTTCTAAAATATAGTTATAATCTAAAATCTTTCAAAAATTGTTAACCACGTAGAGATTTTGTAGTTAAGGAAACAAAAATTTATTTTTGAACATAATTTTCAAAACAGTAAATACAATCTTCAAAACGGATCTCATATATATTCAATTTGCATTAAATCTTAAATTTAAAAAGATATGATCATATCAAACCTAAATTGTGATAATGATTAGCCGACTCTCTTCTTAGCTTATAAATAGATAATATATGATCCGGCTAAATCATTCACAAATCACAAAATTTATTCTAGCAGCCATTTTTGAAATCTTTCACGCTTTTTTTTTTTCTAATGTTCTTTATCTTAGAAATTGTTTTTGACAATAGTCTACCTTGTGATTGTAGGATTTCAAAATTCAGAATGGAGTGAAGAAAGAATATGTCGAACACTAACAGAGGTTTGTGATAAAAGCAAATTTGAAAATCAAGAAAAATTATGTTTCTGATTTACAAGTGTTTTTTTATTACAGATTGAAGAGGCATCGACATCTGCTATCAAAAACTTAGTTGGGAAGAATTTTTCAATCATTTCTTTTTCTCAAAAAGTATAAAATCTGCAGTGGGCATCCGTTGCTTAAGCAAGCGTTGAATATTTTTGTTGTATATACTTTATCCTTAAACGTGAATATTTTGAAGTATACTTTTTTTGTAATAAATCAGTTTACTTTTTAAAATTCAGAAAATCATACTCTAATTATGTTAATAAATCATATTACTTTTTTAAAATTCAGAAAAACATCTCATTAAATTTGTTGACAATTTGATTTCACTTACCTTATAGATGTGAAGATTTTCAAAACCGGCTGGTGCATCCGATTCAAGACTTATTCATTCTAGAAGCCATATACTGCTAAATTAGGAGAGCATGCAAATGATCTGAGAAGATGAACAGTGAGTTTTTTTTATTATCATACTTTTAAACAAATAATGAGATTTTTTTTTTTTGAGAGATCGAGTTTATAACTAGCAAATTCTTATTCAATATTTAATCTCATTATATAATCTAATTATTTACATCCTATACTATTATTTGGGAAATACATCCTATAAATTGTAAAGTTGATTTTGTAAGAAATTATAATATTTGCCATTATAGATCTCTAATCATAATCATTTTAATTCCATGTCACTAATAATAACCAATTCATTAAAAGACGGGTCAATGGGTCAATGGGTCAAACGGTTAAAGTATTTATGATATTTAAATTCTATAAAAAGTATAATATTAATAATATTTGAACTCTATAAAGTATTTATGATATTTAAATATATATATATATATTATGGAAACCATTTGAAATCAAACTTTTAAATTGACTCAAATTATATGTATTTTAAATAAAAGTATTATTAAAAAGAAAATTAACAAAATGATTTTTAATTTCACGGAACGGGGTTATATGGTGGGACGGGTTTGTGTCAATATTAATACGTGACGGTATATATATGACGGGTGAAATCCTAAAATTAATAATCAAAATAATCTTAAATACTTAACAAAATAAATAATATTAAAAAATACAAATAAAAATTTAATTTTTAAGTTAAATAAATCAACCCGCGGAATACCGCAAGGTAAAATCTGGTGATACTGGGCCAAATATAGTTAGAACTGAGCAAACAAATCCCAATAGAGCCCATGTAAAAACTTCAACACAATACAAATATTTTTTTCGTTCTCAATGACACAATACAATTATGAATACCTAATTGAACCAAATAAATTGTTAATCTCATATAAACAAAAATAGAATTCTAATGCAGCTAAATATATTTTATATACAATACAATATTCTCTCTTTCTTTATTACCAAGTCATGTTTTTCAAATAAATTAGATTAAAACAACATTTAACTCCTATAATAAAATAGTCCAATATGATATGGAATATAAATTTAAAATTTATTATCTATATTATTATTTAGTTCTACAAACAAAATATACAACCATCGTCAAATGAAATATACAACATGATATCCAAATAGTAATAAAAATAAAACATTATGATATATTCCCTTTTATATTATACTATTATATTATATTATTATTTAATTCTTCAAACAAAATATACAATTTGATTTATACAAAATATTAAATCCCGTGCTGTATAGTACGGGTCATGATCTAGTACCTTTGAAATTTTCGACCAGTACTGAAAGAAGGATTCTGGTTTCATCTGTCTGATTTCCAGGTTATCCAACCAGAGAACACAATCATATATTCACCATCTCTATTTGAAATCAGGTTTATCTCGAAAACAGGAATGTGGCCTGTGAAACAGAGATCATGGAGTAACTTCTTTGAGTTTGTTTTCCCTATTGAAGTCCAGTATGCTATAGAATCGAATAAAGAAATTGTGATTGGTAAAGATTTCTAGAAATTTTTTTTATGTGGAATCCATATATTTTAGATTACTGATTATAGTTGGTTTTTATTGTTCATTTTTTGAGTTTAGATGCTATTGGTGTGATTGCTGCTGTCAATACTATTCGAAGATTTCCTTATGTGTGTCCTCGGGGAGGGTCAGACAATGAGTCAAGATTTGTGGCTTTTAAGATAAAGGACAATATGTATGTTTTTCTCTTAATATATTTTATGCTATATGTAAGATCAAAGATGTTTTATGATATATTTTCAAAGCATATAAACATAATGCAATTCATGAAATATTATTTAGGGGTGGAATAATTGAGTGCATTGCTGTTGGTACGTGTTGTGATTTGTTTATGACCAACTGGTCTGCTAAGGTCGACTTGGTTACTTATAATTATGAACCAATCGTGGCTGTTCTTCGCAACTGGAGAATTACAGAGTTTGATGGTTAGTTCTAAAAATTCTTTGTTTCCTTCTGTTAATTAGACTATCTTATGTGTTTGAAATAGTGAATATTTCTAAATTATATATTATACAATTGTTCTATAGGAAGAAATATCTTGATGAGTGAATTTGGTTGTTCCCGTTTGTATCTTGATCCAACTTTCCACGACTTGGATATTCCACAATACGTGTAAGTGTCATTTTTACTAATTATACAATTGACTATTAATGTTACAAGAGACACACTAATTTGGTCTTTGTTTTTTCACAGTCGTAGCTTCACTGATGAAGATAAACATGAAGATGATGATGACTAAGAGAATCTAATGACGGAAGTTCCCTTGATGTTTTATCTTCATTGGTTTTATCTATTTAGGTTGTTATATTTCAAATTTCGGATTGATAATTTTTGGATTTAAGTTTCAAACAATGTTATCCTACATTTGCTATCAAGTTAATCTCATGAATTGTTCTACAGCATTTTAATTTCATAACTCTTTATATTCCATTGTTTTGATGTTTTTTTTTAATTATTAGCATAAGAGCTACTAAACGACAAAGTATATAGATTTCTTTTAATATAACAGTTCACTGCAAAATCTTATCAAAACCAATCAAAAGCCTCTTGAAAAATATGGATACACAATCTATATAATATATTATTAGCTACTATTGAAATGATTTGTATTCACCTATACATATAATATAGGATACTTCATTTGGGAAGTAAAACTAATAAAATGATCATATAAAACAATAGTCATCATTCAAAACCGGATTTTTGGTTTTGATATACCCAATGTCTATCATTTCTACCTGACATAAAACGTAAACAAAACACTTGAGTAGTATTTTGAAAAGCATTTTATACTTATTAGTATTTGTTTAAGTTATCAGAATCCAGACTATCAAATCTTTTAACCAAGTTATATTTATTTTGTTTGCTCTCTAATTCTCTTATCTTCCATTAATAAGACAACCGTGAAGTAAAACTAGATCTAAATGTCAAACTCTTCGTATCCCATGGATTTTGTTTCTGATTTGAACAACGAGAGAATGAAGTGAAAGGTTCATTTAAAGATCTTGAGTATTTGGAATCTTCATTCCACACCAAATTTGAGTATGGTTACAAGCATGATTTTGGTTGATGAGAAGGTATGTGTTACCTATGAGTTATAGTTTCTTTTTAGTTTTATTTGTTTTATCACAGACTTAGTTGTGGACATCTTATAATATCACAATTCTTATAAAATCTCTTATGTAGGGAAACAAAATCGATGCTATAATCCCAAATGCTCTATACAGACACAATTTCAAAAAGAATCTCAAAGAAGGTGAATGGTACTTCATGTCTGATTTCAACGTTGTTCCCCAAAATCCCATTTCTAGATACTCTTGGCTCCCTTTCATGATTCAATGTAAGTGGGAAACAAAAATGGTTCACATAACTCCTAGATCAATCAACAATTACCTGGATTTCATTGATTATGATGAAATCAAATATGCTAGAACACAAGAAAGGGAGCATGTAACTGGTAAGTTCTATATACATAATTTAGATATATTGTCAAGAGCCATTAATCTGAATATATTTGTTTTCTTGTGTAGATGCTATTGGTTTGATAACAAGTGTGTCTCCCATTCGAACAGTGCCTTTTGTCTGTGGTATAGGACAAACCGATTATGAAGCAAGACATGTGATGTTGAAGATTAAGGACAATGAGTAAGTTTTGCTTTTTTGTTTATTATGTTTAGTGTTACATGATAATTTTATGAAGCTAGATTGTATTAACCTGAATAATCTCTATGTTATTTATATTTTTAGTGGCAAAAAGATGATATGTGTTGCAGTTGGAGAGTCTTGTGAGCTGTTTGTTAACAAATTATCTACACGTTTAAGTTCTCCTAGATACAACAATGATCCTATCGTGGCTGTTATGCGATTCTGGAGGATCTCCGAAATAAAAGGTGCTTAACTATATTGAATTACATTATTTCTATTAATTTGATCAAAAACTATATATGCATATTTATTTAATCTAAAACTCTCTTTGTTTATTCCTCTATAAGGTCACCTTGCTTAATGAGTGTAGCTGGCTGTTCAAGGGTTTTTATTGATGAACAATTTCCAGATTTCGATATCTACAGATACATGTAATTTCATACTTTATGGTTTTCTTATATTTTAATTAGCATGAGATTAAGATAACTAATATTTCCTCTTTGCTTTTTATAATTTAGTCGATCATTTGCAATCGCCAAGGAAAATGATGATCAGATGGAGGAAGTGGATTTTAACTAAGACAAAGCTAGGAGGATAAAATTGAATCATCTGTTTTATCAGTTTGTACTTTGATATATACCTGTTATCTCTTTTTGTTTTTTGTTATTTGACTATCTTTAAATTTTAAGATTCCCAGAGACTTTACTATATGTTTAAATGTACTTTGCCAAAAGTTATTTGCATTGTTAAGAACTTAAATCATTCGTGAATATGATGGACCTTTAATGTCAGTACGTTACTATTTATATAAGTTACTGAATAGTTTTTTTTTTTTTGTTAACCAAATAATCTTTCTCATTTCAGCATGCATATAAGATCATATGAACTTTAAAGGTCCGTGATATTAACTATAGTCAAAAGTTCAAATTTTAAAAAAAAGCTGCTTTTTATCATCAAATTAAAGTTTCTTTCTGAGCTGTCATAGAAACATAGTCACTTTGAAAACCAAAAAAGCTGTTAACTTGTGCCAATACATCAATCATATGCAATGGTCAAGTTTTGCAAAAGGTTGTCACATATAAAGTTTTTGTTTTCTCTAATTTAGTAATATATAAAAATGATTTTTTGGGCTTTTCTTAATTGTTTCTATTGGTTATCCTATAGGTTTGGCCTTTTCAAGATGTGTATAAATACATATATTGATTTCTACATGTATCACACTCAAGTTCTCCCAAGAGTTTCCACAAACAAAAAATCATCAGCTTTCAAACTTTTCAGACGATTACTCTAATCTTTTCCAAATGAATACTTTTTTAACTTATTTAACTCTCGAGAAGAAGGAATGGTTTGTAGTTGTTAAGATCTTGAGCATTTGGAATCATCCTCCCAAGCATCCCAATGATCAGACTACCATGATTTTGGTGGATGACAAGGTATATGTTATTTTCTCCTTCTTATATCATTTTTTCTATAGATTTATTATAGATGATGAGGGAGAAAAATCTTTTTAACGTTTTATATTTCAGGGTACCAGAATTGATGTTGTGGTTCCTCCAGATTCATACAAAAAAAATTTTCCTAGAAACCTCAAAGAAGAAAAGTGGTACTTTCTTTGGGATTTCGATGTGATCCCACCTTCATTGCGTGAAAGGAACTCTAATCATCCTTACCAACTTAGCTTTAATAAGAAGACAATTATGGCTTACTACAAAAAGAAATTCACTTCCGAATTCCTGCAGTGTCTTGATTTTCTAAGGATCAATAATCCATCAGAAGAAGATAAGCAATTCGTTGTTGGTAATATTCTGGATTAGAGTTCCAAATTTTTTATATTATTTTTTATTTACTCTTATAGCCTAATTTTTGACTTATTCCCATATTTAGATGTAGTTGGAGTGGTTAGGAGTGTCTCTCCTATTGGAAGACTACTTGAAGGAGAAAGTGATTTGGATTCAAGCTATGTTACTTTCACATTAAAGGACCTTGCGTAAGTTTTATTGGAAAATCAATATAGTCTACGTCTATATGAGTTGTATTAGTTATCAGATTTTCAAAAGTGTCATTATATTTTTATTATGTATCATTACATGTAGTGGCCATTCCATTAATTGTGTTGCAAAAGGAAGTTTCTGTGAAGAATTTGTTAGGAAGTATTCTAGAAGAATATGTGATGTGAATTATCACAATCAACCAATCATGGTTGTTCTGCGTTTTTGGAGGATATCAGAGTTTGGAGGTGATGTTCTCCAAACTAATTTTTAGATTCATAATCCATATTTGACTGTTTATATAGCCAACAAATTTCAGTCCATACTAATTATGGTATTTTTTGTGTGTTTTCAGGTAAACCTTGCTTGATTACGAAAGGAGGTTGTCCAAGAATGTTCATCGATGAAAATTTCAGTGACATTAACAGAGACTGCTACATATATTTCCACAGTATATATGAAATTTAAATTGGTTTATTTATACATAAGTTTTTATATTCTTATGTTAGTTATATTTATTTTCGCAGCTGCTTTTTCACCGCTGGAAATAAAGAGACAACATCCTCAGATAATGACAATGTTTCTGATGAAGACGGTGATTCTAACTAAGATTTGCAGCTGTGTGGATGGGATCAAAAAAATTCCTCCTATGTTATATTCTATCTTGGATTTCCTTTAATGCTTTGTTTTGTTAACTTTTTTTAAGCAATGTGCTATTCCCGTATTTGTAAAATAAAACTCTGATGTTCAGTTGTTTTTTTATTTTTCTTATCTATTTTTTACTTTTATTTTGCTTAATTCGTAAGCTTTCTGTGTAAAAGAAAGCATTGAATATCTTTTTTTTATTGTGCTATGATCTAGCACAAGCTATGAAATATCTTTTTTTTTTATGTTAATAATGTTTTTAAATTTCAGAGAACAGAAAGAATTTTTGTTATAATGCATCTAATTGTGTAGGGTTTTTATGTTAATAATGTTTTTAAATTTCAGAGAACAGAAAGAATTTTTTATATTGAGCAAAATTTACTATAAACTGATCCTTCTGAATGACACTAACCTCAATAATAGGTTGATGATCCGAGATCCGTGCTCCCTATTGTTTGATATTCTTATCATAATATATCCTGTCAATCATGAAAGTATATAATTTAGTTATTAACTACTTCTAAAGAATGTTAACTTACTCAACTATTTTAAAAGTTAGTGAGAATATCTACATATAGTACAGAAAATTAAAAATATTATGTACATGGTACTTTATGATATAAAAACTATCTACAATGGCATATACATCACATGTAAACTTAAATCCTAATCCAACAAAGCCTATTTTATAATTGTAAATGCATAAGCTTTAATTTCCAGTCAAATTATCTGATTGTCAACATAGTGGTATGAATCCTATAGGAAATAAACAGCCAATAAATTTCCTGTTGACTCATGCAATTATTTTCGTTAATCCCCCCATCAGTCTTACCAGATTTAATTGTTTTATATGACAACCAAACATGAAATCCTAAAATACCAATAACTAATATATGTTCTGATATTTATCTCCATTGTTTGGTATTTGTGTTGGATATGAAATAGGCCACTTGCTTTGTTTTCCAATTCACGGGTTTTGTCTATTAGCATCACTCATACAACATTTAAAGGTATCTGAATAAGCAAACACAAAAAATAGGCACGAAAACCATTAAAAGCTGTTATATCTGGTCAAGATTCAAGCTTCTTAGAGGTAAAACAGAGACATGAATCTTGAAAAACAAAAAAGCTATTATATCAGTCAATATATCAATCATATGCTATGGTCATGTTTTACAACTAGTTTTTACATAGTGATATGTTATTTGTTACACTTTACTTTTATTAAAACATCATTCTTTTTACTTTTATTTAGTAAATTGGACACAATGCTATAGGTTTTCACTCCATTCATAACCTGTATATAAATACATCTATACTTCACTATAATATCACACTCAAGTCGCTCATTTCTTAAAAACAAAAAGCACACCAGTTAGAGAGGTTTTCATCCTAATCTACTTCGCTGATCATGGCAGTGCTTTTTTCTGATTTAAATCGAAGGAAGAAGAAATGGCTAGTTTTTGTTAAGGTCTTAAGCATCTGGAATAATCCTCCTAAACATCCTAATGATCAGACAACTATGATTCTTGTGGATGAAACGGTATATATTGTTTTCTCTTTGCGCTAATAATGTTATATATTTTCTCTTTGTGCTGATAATTATAAAGGAAACTTAACTTATTATCATTTTCTTTATAAGGGACAAAGAATTGATGCTACGGTTCCTACAATTGCAATCAAAAGGAACTTCCCTAGAGAGCTCAGAGAAGGACAGTGGTACCTTTTTTCGGAATTTGATGTTATTCCACCTTCATTGCCTGAAAGGAACTCTGATCATTTTTACCAGATTAGCTGTAATAGGAACACAGAGGTGGATCCTGTCAGACCAAAATCACAATCCGAATTTTTTAATTGTGTAGATTTTTTCAGTATCAATAATGCATCAGAAGAATACAAACAATTTGTTGTTGGTAAGTTTCTGTTTTATATTGGCAACCATTTTCAGTTAATTTTAATAGATCATCTATATACTAATGATTGATTCTTGCCATATTTAGATGTTTGTGGAGTGGTTGTCAGTGTCTCTCCTGTTGGAAGACTTCTGGAAGGTGGAAGTGATATGGATTCAAGATATGTTACTTTCACACTGAAGGATACTATGTAAGTACAGTTTTACAATGCTATTACGTGCTTTGAAAAATATGTATGTATTAGTTAACAGCCTTATTACATATGAGCATATGATTATACATTGTATCATTACATGTAGTGGCCATTACTTGAATTGTGTGGCAAAAGGAATTTTCGGTGAAGAATTTGTAAGGAAGTATTCTAGAAGAATCAGTGATGTGGATTATCACAATGAACCAATCATGATTGTTCTGCGATTTTGGAGGATTTCAGTGTTTCAAGGTGATTTTCTACAACTAATTATAAAAGTCATTATCTATATGTGACAGTTTAGATAGCCAAGCATTTGGTTATGGAACTGATTTTTGAATTTCTCTGTTTTATAGGTAAACCTTGCTTGATTACTGGTGTAGGTTGTCCAAGAATTTTCTTTGATCCAAATTTCCATGACATCAACAGACAGCAGTTCATGTATTTCCTTCGCTATAATAGATTCAATTTACCTAAACTTATACTCAAATTGTTAGATTCCGATTTTAGTTGTATTTTTGATTCACAGAAAGTGTTACACTCAGGGAGATGATGAATTCACACCCTCAGATGATGACGATATTTTTATGGAAGAAGTTGATTCAAACTAAAACATCAATTCTCAGTGGATTGTTTTCTGAATATTCCCCCTATGTTTTATTTTATCTTGCTTTTCATTTATGTTTGCTTTGTAAAACTTAATATTAAATGTGCTATTAGCACAAGCTATGGAATAATATATTTCCTATTTTTGTTAATTATGTTTATTGATTTCAGAGAACATTAGACAATATATCATATCGATCAAAATTTACTATAAGCGGATCATTCTGAATGATACTGACCTGAATAACAAGCCAGTGATGCTCCGAGATTATTGCTTCCTGTTGTTTGATCTTCTCATTTAGTATATCCTGTCAATCATGATAATATAGAATTTAGTTACTAATTACTTATAAAGAATCTTAAATTACTCAATTTTTTTTAAAGATAGTTTCAGATATTGAATATATCGACATATCTAACAAGATTTTATTCTCATATCTGGTACAATAGTATTTATCCAAGCTTTAGTCATTCTCCAACTCAGATGCATAAATTCTCATACTGTAAAAAAACTCGCTTTGTTATATTCTTATACTACGGAACACAATCAAGAGTTTGATAAGGTAAACCAAAGCATAGAAGTTATACTTTCCAACATCTACAATTATATTCCTACAAATTTTGTATATCATCACATATGTGTTACGATCTATCCTATTTTTTCCTCAGGAAATCACATTTTCATGAGGAAGAAGAAAGAAGCAAGGGGTCAAATTGATCTTGATGTCACTCAAACTCCTGTTAGAATAAGACCATCATCTACTATACTCGATGAAAAAAATGTTCCAGGTTCAGGAGAAAGCAATATCAGCAATAATGTTGCATTCAATTCAGTTTTTAGAAGAGTTTTGGGAGACATATCTAACTCACCACGCAATACATCTGGACAATCACCATCTGACCAAAGAACGCCATTGTCAGGAACTGCAATAGACAAATTAAATCAGATAAGCACTCCTTATCATAACCCTAATGCAAAGAGGTCAAGAAATATCTCACCTATTTCATGTAAGTAAGACTATTTCTGTTGGAAGTATGGTTACAATCTATTTCATTTTTTTTTGACATAATATAGAGAGCTAATTCTATAAACAGTATTTAATGAGTCAGGTACTAAATCTAATACTTCCCAGATTACCTCAACTCAAATCAATGACTCTCCTCTGTTGAGTCAATCTTCTTATATGCATAATGATGATTATGCTCCTGCTTCTTCTGCCAATAAAAGATTCAAAGGAAATTTATCAGGTTATATTTCAGAATTAGTACAATATCACATAATTCATGTAAATGGTAATGCTTAAGAGATACACGCTAATATCTATGAGAAATTGATATAGGGATTTATCATTTGGTATTTGTCCACAGTTACTACAAGAGGATCCGGATCATCAATGCAAAACAATCATATTTATGATGATCTCCTTCACTCTCATCAGAGTTATGTAGAATATAATGGTAACAGTTCAGATACTGATGAAGATGCTGATTTATCAAATTATGAAGCTTCCTCACAAGGTAAGACCTTATCATGTTTTAAAAATCTTATAAAGATTCATATTTTAAAAATTTGTTTCCAATTTTAACAGGAGACTAAAGATAACAACCAAGAAGATTTTTTTTTTAGTAGTGAAGAAGATTATTCATCAAATGCATCCTCAGATGAAGATGACCGTGTTGACGACGTTTCTCAAATCACAGATGACATTATTTATCAAGCTAAATATAAATTTGACATACTTACTATGTTTGAAAAGGCTTTTGGAAAACCAAATCCTTTACCTACTAATCGTCAGAACAGAAAGAGTGGTACAATATACATATTAACTCAATCATGAGACTCAATTTATAAAATTCAGTACAATACTATAACCTATATTATTTTTTTGGTTTTTTCCAGCTTATGTCGATGAAGGTGATCCAGTTCATAGTTGTGAGAAATGTGGTGCTATTTTTTGGTATGGGGAACGTGTAAACAAGAGGAGACATACCAATAATCCTAAATTTTCATTGTGCTATATGCAAGGTCAAATCGTATTACCACCCTTTAAGGATTCACCTGAATTATTATGGCATTTGCTTACCA